TCTTTAACTACCTGTATACAATTTTCATCATCCCTCCCTAGAGAAATACGCATTACCCACCCAATGTTCCGGACCCTGACCCCCTCATCCACAATCGACACAAACTCCACATCGTATTATAGCAGAAAAGACACAATTTCCTCCTCCTTGAAACCTCCTACAACTATCGCAGAAAGCAATAAATTTTAACCTTACTGATTATTTCTTCTACTTCTCCCAATTACCCCCTTCCTCAAATCAAGCACCATAGACGTCAGTTCACCCTTTGAGCTAACGCATGTAGGGTCTTAACCGCTTGACTAGCCTCCCGTTTGATGTGAGTCCAGGGATCTAACTCCAAGCAGCAAGATAAAGCCCGCCGGTACCGGCAGCGCCATATACTGCCGTGTAACCATTGTTGCCCATATAGGCCTGCGGTGGACAGGGGTGGAGCGAGAACTCTACCATTCCCGCATCTGATTCTCTAACCAGTTATCCCCAGCCGGCCACGATTCCGGCTCTCGGCAACCGCAGGAGCACATCCAGGTGTCCCCAAGCGCAGCTTCCCAGAACACCGGAAAGTGGCTTCCAAACCCCAGGAAAGACAACACCTGTGTAACCTAATGCGTCCAAGGTGCGAGTGATAGACTCTTCTGTTACCTCATCCCAAGGGAAATGGTGAAAAGCTTCCCGGTCGCTCACAAATATATCCCCGGATCCCCCGGCCATTGTCCAGCGTTGGCCTGGGCCGCGTTAAGAAAATGGTCTGGTGGGTGCCGAGACACCGCCGGGCTTCAGAGGCCGGATATGACTTCGAGAGGATAGCCCAGGATCCCCAGAATCACGGCCACGCCACACGACCGCCAAAGAATGCTTTGCACCGTGGGTTGGACTGGCCACTGGGGATCGCTATTTCGGACTACTATAGGGAGTAGCATTCCTCCTCAAATTTCTTTCCAACTAAATAAGAATACTTCCCTTCTCGCGAGAGTTCTGATTTTAATTTTTTTCGATCGCCCTGCGCCAAAGATCATCCTATCCTGTTAACCGGCAATTGTAAACTTAGGGTTCGGACGCGCTGTCACCCGAATAATTCCCCTTAGCAGTTTCAGCGCTACAGACCTAATGAGAAGTTGAAACAGAAACAGTTTTTCTTACCTACGTCGCGTGATAATTCACCTATAAGTTTTCTCGGAACAAGTCAGTCCGGCTGCCGCCCCTCCAGATTATCCTAGTCTACCCGTGATACCAGCAACCCTTGATTAGACTTTGGGTTCCTCCGGGTTTACAGCTCGCATCTGCGGTTGCATTGCGACCACTCACTCACTCAGTCATACTCCTTCCTCGCTCTTGGGTCTGTTGTAAGTCTGCTGTAAGGCATGATCATATAGCTTCCTGATAGGGAAGGAAGAGATGTGGAACGAACAGGATAGACTAAAAGCAGTAAAATGTACCGAATGGGGTTGAGTGAGACGATCATAGCAGATTGGGCCGAGTGTATCAGTTTTCGAATGGAAGGATACTTATGAGATCAGAAATACTTGTATAAAAGGGTAGATGGCTACCCGGTGCTTCTTGATGGTGTGGCCGGTACTACAATTTTCTTAAATACTGTCCGTTCTGAATACTATCTATTTATTTCAGAGAACTTTTCTTCTTCATCTTTCCCAACAGGGTCCAATTGTTTGATCCCGAGTGACTTGTCATAACAAACTCATAGTAATTTACCAACTTGGTGGGTGCGAAAGACAAGGACAGTAAACTCTATGCCTCATTCGAGAGGATTACACATGAAGCCCAAAAAGGATGAAGTAGCGAAGGTGCAATCATAATAGGCTCGAAACTGAGCGATCGATAGAGATGCTAGCGAATGACAGACCGGGAGATATATATATCTCTATACTACTATTATAACACCGAAAACCCAAAAATAACCCCCCACGATCCCTCGAGGAACACACCATCCTGGCAAACCATGATCCTCCGGGGTCCTCCAATAACCCAGAACCCGGCAGATACTCCATGGTCCCCAATGACACCACAAACCAATCACAGTATTCTAAGTGGGATAGGGTGCGGAAGAAACAAAGCAAACGCCCCATACCTGATGCCCCATGGCAAGGGGTATCTTCAAAACAAAAAACCTATACCCTCTGCCCAACGAAACCACTTTCCCATGCCTACTCACTGTGCATCACAAAACAACATCTCGCCTAGTCGCATGCCCAATAGGCAATCCAACAAGACAATCAGGAAAAAGAAAACCGTGATAGAGCCAGTGACAACGATACCCCCTCCTTCCTGCCACCCCAACTGCCTCCAGCTTCCGTTAGTGCTAGGTGATGCGTTTCCCCATGAGTATCTAAAGAGAGGCAAGTTCATGAGCCACCGCGTTCCTACCCCGGTCAAAGTCATCAACCCCCAGCACCCGCCAATCTAGCGCTTCTACAAGGCCGCCCCATCACCTAACCTGATGGTTTCATTTGCCCATTTTCTATCGTAGAAGTAGCCACGGCCGTGGTCCTCGCGGGTAATTCCGGGTATGGAAAGAGCGCAGCCAGCACGACAGGGTGTTGATTGCGCCAAACGAAATTTTATTAGCCATGTATTGCGCAGGTATCAGTTGTGTGAAATACCGGTCCCGGTATGGTCTGCAAAGACTATCTGGGGCGTCCAAAAAAAAAAAACTAAAAAACACCTCGACCAGAAACGTACCGTATCAACACTCGACCCGTAGTGACATTTCCAAATATTAATGGTTATATCAATATAGGTTTAATCGGAGAATAACTCCATGGTCTAACTTCCCCAAAACGCCGCGTTCCAGTTGAGCAGATTGAGGAATTATGAGTAGTATGTATCAGATTTGAAGGTTATGGACCCAGAGGTCGTTAAAGCCAATTCACAATCCACTGGCACAATACGGTACCGTACTGGTATCAAGCAGCAACAAGCCCTATTCAGGCCCGGGCTCATACCGAATTTGGATTAGCGTGTAAATAAATTGTTGGGTTTTTGCCAAGAAGGGACTCGTCCAAGTGCTACACACCATACTCGAGTAGGGCAAGTACTATACCGGTAGTAGTTAAAGTACCTGCATTATCCTAAAGACGCACAGTGGAGCTGTCCACGTCACACCCGTGGCTTTCCAACCCAAAACGTCACCCTCCCGACGTTTCAAAGCTCCCAATCCCCGACCAAAATTGCTTCCGAAAGTCTCAGACAACACCAATTATTGTCAGAACTCGGGGAGCTCCAGAAATTCCGATATGCTGCATCAGTGATGATCGATGATGCAGTCAAGCCATTCGGAATTGCCCTTTTGCTGCATTCATCCATCACAAACTAATGCCAGGAGTTTGACAGCCTGCAGCTTGACAGGACATCCACCTTTTATGATGTCCCCGAAGCTCGATGCTGGTTCCCAGCCGTGGGATGGATCAGTTTCTTTTTGGGTTGGTCAGAAGAACCTACTGTTTACAAGTTTACAAATTTTGTCCCTAAGTTCGCTTTTTACAGTAGACATTAGCAATCAATATTTGATGTCCATGTGGATCAAGTCCCCCACTATCTCTTGATAGGAAAATATTGTGCTGTGTCTGGTACATCTGAAAGTAAGGTACGCGCCCATTCCCCGGATGTTTCGAGCGGACGGTAGGACAGAAGACTTCTGCCTAAGAATCATTCGGACCAAAGTGATGCGCAAGGCAAACCCGCTTTTGATGAGACACAGCTCGACTACCAGCACTGGCAGGAGAGAGAATGATATCTGTAATTGGTTAAACCTTGCCCATTCGACCGCCCTGTCCTCCCGCAGGTTACCTCCAACCGAGGCAAAGTTGCAGTTACACAGTCCGTTGGTCAAAGCTTTGTGGGACTCGTCCCGGCTAGTCGAGGAGAAATCTAATACCGCGCATGAGGTACTGGGTAGGATATGGCACCATACGTTATCAAGGCTGTTAAAGTGAAGATAATATAGTACTCGGCGCGCTGCGGAGTTGAGGCCGGACACTTTGTAATGGAATTGTCACCTCAGGTGCCGGCTTCAACACAGCCGCGCGAGTACGGTACAGCACAATACGGTACTTGTCCGGTGCCATGCCGGCGGCACGACCGGTACCTAGCGAAAATGCCAAAGCATTCGAAGTGCCCCCTTTCATTCTTGGCTGTGTCCGGATGTCGATCCTAGCAGTAAAGTGTTTCTTCAGCCTACGCTTGCACTTTCAAAGGCTAGAAAACCAAGCAGCGTGTCCTTTCCCTATCGGCTAGGAGGCATCGGAGCGACACCAGCGCCTGATTTCACCCCGATAGGTGAAAAGAAGGAGGAGGGTGAGTGGTTTAGCCCTGGCAGGTATTTCTTTTCCCGAGAAAAGGTAGCAGCGCCTTGAGCACCACAATGTGATCCGTATCATAATCTGGGACGTGATCGCCTTTGGGGAGGGATTGTCGATCCTTGAACCACGAATGTGTTGAGGTTTCACCACAGCGCAGTGCAGGAGCTTGGCACAAAGAATTGTATAAGCTGGTTTTGTCTTGTCCCCCCTCTTACGCTCGGAGAAGCGAGGATACCGAAAGCTAGAACTTAAGCTTTCCCATAAATAAATTAAACCCCTACAGATTCTACTCGCAGCTTAGCCTCTAATTCTCATACTACTGAATTGCTCCGCTATTTCCCCCACTTAAGCGTTCCTAGCTCTGCTCTCGTTGCTCCAATCGTTCCAAACCCAAAGTTACAGTATTCCAAAGAGCAGCACTGAGAGTTGTCGGGTTTCGCAGGTGTCTGGGACGAGACAGTTGGCCTCGAGATCAACCCTAGCAACGGGACCTTAGATTTTCCCGAGGAATGAAAGCCACGACGGACATAAATCAACGTTGGATCAGAGCTTGCACGTAGGCACTCGATGAGAACATTTAAATAGGTCTGGTCTCCCTGATGATCGTTTTTCCCCATTTCGACCACCCCATAATTCTATCGCGGCTTCTAACATTCGGTATCGCATTCCTTGCATATCATACCCAACATGCGGGGCCCACCGACGCTGTGGCCGGCCGTACCGCCCCTATTGTTTCTGATTTTCTTCATAGCTAAGCCTATAACGGCAGCTGTTGATTTCCAAAAATGCTGCACCCTCGTTCCCGTCTCCGAGGAGCTTGGACCACTTCAGTGGGACGCCTGTCATTCCTCTTACAACTCTTCCGAGACCGATCCTGATAAGAAATGGGCTCCGGAGATTGCGACTACCTATTCCTGGTGCCATAAGGTCTGCGAAGCAAGCGGTGACTTTGAAGTAAGCGATACTAGTCAATGGCTGTCACCGTTAGCAGCATGGGTTATCCCCGCCTCGGCACTTCTGTTCCTACTACCCATTTCCGAACATCTCAAAAGCAGCGAACAATACTTCCGACGGTCAAAGAAGGAGAAACAATGGGACAAGTATGTTGCTAATTGGTGGTTTCCCCTTGTGGAATATATTCAGATATTGGGGGATCCTGCCAGCGCGTTTAACGGGGCACTGGCGGAGATGATTGCCGACTGGACACTCTGTTTATCAATGCAAAAGCCGCTCAATGGGAAGAGGGAACGGAACCTTATTCTTATTGTCATCCTAGCAGAGCAGGCAGACTTTTGGAATGTTCCGGCGAGGAACACCATTGAATTGGTGGCCGGGTCCAGTCGTGCGAGAGAGTACACGCGGAGTGCGGGGCGAGTCATCTGGAGCGCTAGAAAGAAATTTAATACATCCGTGGTCTTACCCATTGCGCTATATATTGGCGTTGCAGCCGCAGTTTTCTATGACGCCTATCAGAAACTTGGTGATAATAGTACCTCGTAAGTTTCCTTCAGGTGGAATGCTCATTGTGGTGGCATACATACTAATCCAACATACATTACAGACACAGTCTAGCGTAAGTCCCACCTTTCCTAACCCTTTTATGAGGTGTTGCATATCCTAAACCTGACAGTTATGGCGTTTGGTACAATTGGATCCTATTGCTCTCGGTCTTCGCCAATTGCTTTGCTTCACACTCGAACCTCGATGCAGTTCGCAGTGGCATGGAAATAATCCTACGTGGAGTAATTGAGAATCACACCATCGCCCAATTATCAAAGGTTGGGTGGGATAACCAGGCAGCCCAAACACTAGATCAATCCTACTACACCGCGATAAAGTCCCTGTCACCATACCCGGCGCCGCATCCCCCGATGCTTCTCAACCCGAGAGATCTCTTCGCGGGAAACCTGGAGTGCAAGGGAGTGCCGTTACATAAAAGATATCGAAACACCCGAAACTGGGTTCGATGGCTCCATAAGAATGGAGTCGACATTGCACGGCCAACCGAGGGAATCTGGAGTTATCATATATTCTGGCCGGATTGGTACTCAAGGCATCATCCAACGGTTTGCCACACCTTCCCGCATAGTTCTATTAACCCCACTAACAGAGCTCAACCTACGCTAGGCGATGTATCTTATCACACAACTGCTCTCCTGGTTCTTCGTCCTCTTTTCCTGTGCATGCGCTGCGATCCGTTCGTCTCCCACTCCTCGCAAAATTACTGCCAAAATATCTAACGATCTCCATCCTTGACCAGTTTCTTACACCACCCCAAAAGTAAGTCTCGGATGCCGCTCAATCAACCACGTCCTCTACGCCTCAATAGCGCTCCTCAACGCAATGATCCGCGTCGCCAAAGACACCCTGGAAGAGTCCGAATATATCCGAACGTATCAGGTCGTAACAGTTATCTATCATATAATGGGCTGCCTCAACGCCGTCCTCGTCCTAATCGGGGGCTCCCTCCTTCAGATAACGGGAGTCTTCCGGAACTGTTGGTGCATGTCCGGTATCGTCGGGCAGAATCCAGACTCAAGAATTATCCTGAGTTCGAATACGTACGCACATCAATACTGGGCCAGGACGCTATGGCTAAGGGTTGCCTATCTAGCATACGGAGAGGTTGCAGGGTTTTGCGTTGTCGCGTTGTTCATCCGGCTTTATGTTGCACATACCGTTCGGAAGTCGTTGGCTTAGGACAGAGTACGATCTCTTTGGCGATCGTTGTATATGCCTCGTGGTTGTGCTATAGATGGTGGGGGGTTTACAGGCCTGGATCCTTGCGATCTTGGGTATTGAATTTGGAATATATATACTAAATAATCAAGGGTATGTATCGTACCCTCTTTGCTCATGGGGTGTTTTTAGTATCGAAATCACCCTTTCGAACATATCATGCAGACCTCAATACTTTCGCGCAATAGGGTTTTTAACGCAGAGTTTTAAATACCCGCTTATCATGCTATTCTCGAAGGCTCTCTGGCATTCGAGAGTCTTCTTAGGTTTCATATTGCGCTGACGCACACCGTAGTGTATATTACTTATGATACCATTAATGGATACCATGACAAATCAAAAGAGCCATATTCCCCTCGAAATGCGATACAATGATTACCCAAAATCCCAGCTTCAAGATTTCCGAACGAGCCTTTGGATCCAGCACAAATTTCTCAGATATCCAAAAAACGATACACGCCAGATCCCACAACCAACCAACCAACCCGGTACATTTCGTTCATATTCATGCCTTGCTCCAATCGCATCTCCCAACCCTTTAGGATCCCCCGACTCCTTCATGATGACTTATTAAATCTATATATCCTCCTATACAACAGAATCCCGCCGTTGCGAGGATATCCAGCTTAGGTTTTTCCTAGCTCCCCGTTTTCCGATTGATAAAGGAATCAACTTTCTATTAACACTTCTAATCCTCCATCCGGTAGCCACGCGCGTATGATAGCATCTTCGTCCTCCTCCACATCACTACCAAGATGGTACATATGGTAGTGATGTCCCGTACCGTCCCCATGCCCCAATTTGTCTCTAAGCCCACGACACCCTTTTTCGTTTCTTTTTCGTTTCTTTTTCCTTCCCCTTCTCTGCATCCCTTTTTCTTTCTTTCCTACCGCCTTTACACTTGGCCCTGCTTATCATATGAATCCGAAAACCCCCTCCTCCGGTTCAATGAGTGAATTTCTATGAGAACCCGGAGGTGCCAAAGATTTTGTACGGTTCAGTGGAGTACCGTATCCTGTTCAGCGCGATCCGGGGCAGCCGGGTGTGAGTGTATATTCGAGGCTGGGGGTTGAGGTTTGATACAGTGTCCGGTTCGGGGACCAACCCACCTATCGTGATTCATCACATGCGCCATCCGACAAGTCAACTACGCCACGCCACTACTCAAGTCACCGGATTGAAGCCACTCCCTTGTGGCGGTGATACACCACGAAAATAGTGACTCCAACCCGGAGACACGACGGCCGGATGATGGATAGCGCAATCGAGGAATCGAGGAAAGGTTTTTAATATCCGGTAATCCTGCCCTGCTAGTGTGGAGGATAGGCACTGCGCCACGAAGCGGGTTGGAGATCAGCTTGTGTTGTACTATACTGTACGGTGGTAACTTCCCTCCGCAGCGCGAATCACCCCTGATAGATCCAGGAAACCATTACGACATCCCAGTCACAGCTTCGGCGATTGTTCCCTAACATTGTGTTGGTGGTATTTCTGTTGGAATCGAGAAAGATAGTGTGTTGTGGTTGGCCATGGAGGACACGGGAAGGATGCTGGAAGGGCAAAGTTGTTTCTGGAAGTCATTGGAGTTCGTTTTATTGTTCGGAGGCACTATGTTGGAAGAGAATTCTAGAGATATGTCTTTCCTTTGTTATCACGGAAGTGGGCGGAGGAACTCGAACATGTGTGGAATCAGAGACGAGTGCCGCAACCCATGGAAGGTCCAGGTTGCTTTGATGTTTTATTTATGAACCCGTCCTTGCCGATTAGTTAGAGAGCGAGAAGGGTACAAGACGAAGTACATACTTATCCTAGTTATCCCATCACAGCGAAGTCCCATCCTATTCGGTTCTTTTTACCACTGCGCAAGCTGATATACCCCCTTCCATGGAGCCCCGGACAAAGTTCTAATCCTCTCTCTCACCAGGTGATTGGATTGTAAGCCACGAACCCAATTCCAACTTTTCCATATTTGTGCTCCCGTAGGGATAAGTCCGAAATAATTTTCCGGCCGACACCGAAACTCCAATTATTTTTCAACTAAGAAAAAAGTGCCGGGGGCCGTCTCCCCGAAAATATCGAACATTCCCCATTCTTCCATGGCCAAATGATGAGATTACCTAGGTATCTCCCTCACGATGAAACCGTGCGTCCATGACAATATATCCACATCACAATGTTCCACTTATTCGAAAGACTAAGAAGCATGCTTCTCCATTAATATCAGACACCTAAGAATTGGATCGTAAGTGGACGAGAGCTCGCAATTTCATATCCAGTAAAAAGAGAAACCTATAAGGCACAGAAAACAATGAAAAAATTGGATTTCGTTCGCACCAACAAGAGGATTATTTATTGATCGTCGGACTACGTAAGTCAGGCATTGGTTAGCAAACGGCCCAGTGATAAGAATTTGGTAGAATATAGGGCTTCTATCCAGGGGGGACGCTATTGAGGAGGAGCCAAGCTTTGTTCATGATATTCTGCCCAGATACTACGTGCAACTTAACTGAGCTTTCCTTTCGTCCTCCGCATGCTATATCTAAACTCTCAATTACTTCCATCGTGATCCAAAGCGTCGTTATTATGGACTGGGTAACTACGTCCGGTGAGTTTATCGCAAGCCACCCCGCTGTCTCATATTGTACTGTATCCCCTGATAGGCTATGTAAACTTGCCATTCGAACCGTAAGGTTGGCTCGAGTGACATCTTGTGATAACCTGATTCAAACCCTCGCTCTACCAACACTGGTGAGAGGCTATTACTATCTCTAGCAAGCCTAGGTAGTGGCTCCGGCCCACGTGCGGGGGCCTAGTTCAAAAGATTCACGACTCGGTAGATTGGGGTGACATCAGGCCTGGACCCCCTATCGAGAAAAATACACCTCCGCCTCTTGGGCTAGTTACCATGACTTTTCAGAGGGATGTCAGCCGCTAGAGTGCTTGCTCTCCCGTGTCTTAAGATTCTCGGGGTTTGGAGCCCCAAAGCTCCAACTCCGGACTCTCGGGCACCTCCCCAGAAGGTCTTCTATTAGGCTTGAGAACTCTCGGAAGGGCCGGAAGGGGTACTCCAACCGCGCCGCACACGTCTATTCCCCGGACGATAGATCTCAGACCCCTAATTCCCGGCCAGCCTGATACAACAAATGAACAGAAATCTAATTAGATAGTTGAGATCTGCATTATGCGGCACCCGGCAGACGTTTAGAACAAATCTTCTGGATCCCTGTTGGCCATATCATACCTTACACCAAAGGACTTCTGCTACAAGATCCGTATCTCCCCCGATATCGTTAAATCCCATCGGTCGAATTCATCACGTTTGCCGCGTTATTGATGACCAAAATCTAGAAGTTTTGAAAATTTACCGAAAAATCCGCTAATTGAGTTACCACCCGATAGTTAATGTCTAACCTAGGGTGAGGTACTTCGCACAATCGCGATCACGAGTAGCCACGCGGCGTTCTATCCTCCTCCCGTACCAGCCGCCGTTGCACAAGACCCCCTGCCATCTACACACACTGTCCCTTTCAACCCCCGAGCAAATCTCTCTCGCGACACGCCGCCGCCCCTGAAATACCATCCGTTCAAGTACTCGAGTACTCTAGTGCTTGTACTTGTACGTGTACAGTCACCCACCCACCGCCTCCCATAAGCTCTATTCCGACCCACGTCGCTTCTGCACTTGATTGCCGTGCTGCGGGTAACTGATGCACCGATACCGGAGTGCCGGTATCTTCGATCACGGTAGGCCCCCGCCCTAATGATCGCCTGAAGGAATACCAGTAGTGTATTATGCACTAATCAGGGTACTGGCATGATGTCACGTCTTTATCTCAATTGCGTGGGTGCGTGCACATATGGATCGGACGGAAACATACCGCACTTCAACGAGCTCTGCACGTGCCCCCGGCCTTAGGTCACCTGATAATGTATAAAATGCCCACGTTAAGGGAACCTGCCGGGGTACATCACGCTTGCTCGAGTTCCTCGGAAATTCAAGTTGGTTACATCGCCCGCCTTTGTAATTTTTAGAGGATAGGGATGGTGTAACCCAGTGGCACCATGTGGATCCCAGATTCTGAGCATCTCCGGCCCCCTCGGCAATCGTGTATGGGATAGCCACCGAGTCGAACAGGTCTAAAAATCCCCAGAATGAGAAATGCACTCAACACATACCCCAGCACCCAAACCCTAATACTCAAATATTATGATAACTCACCAACAAACAAGACCAGATCCATGAGCTTTCGAGTGATGACATGTGATCACATACTCTCATTCAAGCCGTCCCACCCAGCACACTGAATCGGTCCTACATTCGCTCGCGGTTTCCGAGTGCCGCTAGCCACGCCATTTCTTCCCAAGATAGCCTCATCTCCCACAGTACCTGGGTACTCGAGTATAGTGCCCTCGCAGGCGATCATACATTTCTCCAGACCGATCGGGTACCCCCCCCCCCCACCTTTTCAAAAACAACCAGTCTAACACCACTCTATGCCTCGAAGGGGGGCACACAAGGAAACGTCTGCCAGGCTTCTCCGCAGATCTCCGGCTCCGGAGATATTCAATCCAGAGAGGATCGAGCACCCCGCAGAATGATGGTACTAGCGCCACGGATGTTGTCATTTTAGTATACCGGAAAGTGGGTGGCTTTGTCTTAAGACTTGGCAGTAACTACGTACCATACCTCAAAGTTCCTGCACGACCTTTCAGTTTCGTTTTCATAGGTTTGGGTACATCTGCCGTTATCAAAGAATTCGAACACTAATTTAGCCGGTTATGGCACTAGAAGCGTGATAGAAAGAGCACTTCATCACGAGCAGCAGTTGTTCGCAGGCCCTCTGGCCTATGATGGACGGGATCAGAGGAACTGTGAGAAGTGTGCTAGTTGGATATTGGCAAGAAGCAAAGGGGACCGGCAGCATAAGCGAGTGAGAACAGGTGATGGCTATGAAAACATTAGCGCAGTGCGGAGCTATGTATCATTTCCCGTATCCCGTTGTGCGGGGTGATAGGAAAACCGACAGATGTCACTACTCGGGCCCGACCGATACTACCTGTATAACAAACACTTAATACCGTACTGAGCTAGCACAGCCCTTTATTAACGGTGTTGAAGGACCCGAATCTACGTGCTCCCTACCACCTGCAAGATCGCAACCCTGACATGTCCGACATTGCGATCGAGGAGCGACTACGGCACTCGTGCTGCCTCCAACAACCGCCTCCCGACCGAGATGTGGGGGTCCCGCTATCAAGGCATTATACCAACTCGCACTTTACACATTCTGAACAACCAACAAGTCCCCACTCGATTTCTATCGAACGGCAGCATGATAATCATCTAGATGGCAATTGGCGACAAGCCAGCACCCAGGCGAACACCGGGGGTCAAAGTTCGCCGATTGCTCACCCTCTGCAAATGAAAAAAAAATTCACCCTCAACCCCCGTCCATCATGCCCCCGTATCTCACCCCGGCAGAAACCTCACAACTCAGACAACAAAACTACTTATCGCAGCCCTTATCGTCCCCCACGCTAGATACACATTTGGTTAAACCAGTCTTGGCAATACCGATTTCGCGCGAGAAAGTTATGACGCCGAATCGTCAGTGCCCGGCCAAATCGAGTATCTCCGTTCAGGGTTCCAAGCTCCGTTCCAAGACAGAAGGGCTCGGTAAAGTCGAGCATGGTGAGGGACATCTGCAGCTTAATTTGCCGGGTCCTCCTACAAAAAGTTTGACCCAGCTGCAGTCCCAGCATCTCCACGAAAATACGAGATATTAGGGACTTTGCGAAAAGACTCTGGATGTGGGTCAAACAGGGTTCTGGGCCAATGAGATCGCTAGAATTTGACTTTGGATGCGAAATCGCAAAGTCTCTATTCCAACCTTCTCTCTCCATCAATATGCAGAGATTCATCCACACAATCATCTAATAGACCCACAATCCCCATCAGAAGACTGACCAAAGATCCTCTACATCTCAAAGTCAAACAGAATTCCCCTATCAAAGCACTAACTTAGTTCCGGCCAGCCCTCACACCAGCCGAAAAGAAAAATGGGAGTCGGAGGTGGTGACCACTCTGGATGGGCATCCTCCCGTCAACCCAGCATTGTGATATATCTTAATTTATCCGCGTGGATCGGTGCTGCACCAAGGTGCCACACATATTCGACGAGATAACACGGTACCACAAGTTACAAACACTGTGAAAGGCCCCAGAATGTTATCGGGAGCCGGTACCGCAAACAAGGTCCTACCATCCACACCTTGCGAGTCCCGGAACCGACCAATTAGACAAGAACCTTTTCTTTCATAGACGCGGGGGTTTTTTTTGCGACGTGGTACGAGTATGGTAATAGGGCTTGCACGTTATTTGTACTCGAGTACTCGAGTATTGGAAAATTTTGTGCGGCTGTCAAGGTTTGAGATGGGTTACAGGGCCGTACTACTGTGGTACTACGGGGAACTTTATGAGATGGTTTTGCTCATTGGCTTCATATGAAGTTGTCGAATGGATCTCTGCTGACTTGAGGAGTACCGTACGGTATGAGTCACCCTCAGTGCTATGGCTGGTCGGGAAGATCCTCAAGTGAAAAAAAAAATCACTTGAAATGAAATGAAAACTCTCCAATAACAACAAGTACAGGGATAGGGTCCAAAAAAGGCCTGATCTGGTCATAACGGTAAAGCGACCATGACAACCTCAAAATTGGAGACAGATCATGATATCATAACGGTTCGTTGGGGAACCCTCCCCCGCCTTGGCGTCGAAGGAGAAAAAAAGTTTTCCTTTTCGAGCAACCAAGTCCCGAATTGATCCCTAGGGTTTCGCATCCTCACGCAAACCGATATAGCACACTCGAATACAGAATAATTAATTAATTAATTAATTATTTCCCGCCTCCCCCCCTCTCCCTGGAACTGACTTCCTCCTTCCCCTCCACTGCCAAAACAACCTGAACACGGTGCGATACAAATACTCGAGTCCCGGTTACAGTACGGTAGTCTACAGAACATTACCCGTATCCGCTCGCGAAATCCGAAATCCGCCATACCGGTACGATAGTGAAAATGCAGTCCAATACTGTACGAGCGGTACGGTATCTCTTTGTTCCGTTTTTTTTTTTTGAAGAGCACATGATGCCCCCCACCTTTCAAGTACCGTGCCGTGAACAGAGCCGGTACCAGAGCGTGATACCCGCAAGTGCACCCTTCACTTTCAGACTTCACTTTCACTTTTCACCTTCACCTTCACGAGCGAGAGGGAGAGAGAGCACAAAAGCTAACCATACAGGGTGGAGCGGAATCCACCGATGGTCCTTATGCACGCATGCACGCATGCACGCACGCAACGCACGAGTAAATCGCGAATCCCGTAAAAAAAGTTAAAAGGACTCTCGGCGAAATGTGACAAACCTTCCCACAGCGCACCACCACCCACCACACTAACGCTCCGAGTTCAGTTCGGCTTGGACATGGAAAGGGGGGAGAGGGGGGGGTGGCGGAAATGGCGATAAGAATTATACGGTACGAGTAACTGGTAAATAGTCTTTTTTTCCCTATTTTTTTACCCCATCCCTTTCACTTCCCTTTCAACTTTCCTGCTATCATACTTTTATTGTTCGTACGGTGGTAGGCAGGAGCGTAAACGAGTACGGTGCGGTCCTGTAGGCTTTTCATGCACAGTATACGAGCAGCCTCGCGCCTCCTATGATAGATTACCGGGAAACTACAGTACCTGTACGAGTACTCGTGCAGTACTCGGGTACAGTGACACTCCCGTGAATACACGAAGGGGGAGGAGATAAGACCCTTCTCTTGGCGTCAAGACATGATCCCCCCCCCCTTAGCAATGAGAGCTAGAGCTAGAGATGAATAGGAAAGGGGTGATTATGCTGTGGGTGGGTGGGTGGACTCAAGCGAGCCGGGGCGTTCCGTAGTTATCATTTGCTCGTCGGGTACAAGTGCCAGGGGAGATGTTTTCGTACAAGACAGGGATTATTCTGCGGGTTAACCTAAATTAACTGTGCGAAAACATTATCCCTGGGACTTGTACTAAGTTAGCGCTCGAGTACCAGTACGATACATCGAGCGCGAGGAGGTGCTGGGTAGCAATCACAGCCGGTACCAGGTACAAGTTATTGATTAACCTAACCTAACCACCCCTACCCATTTTTCTATTATTCCCACTATTTTATCCCACAGCTGCCGTCTACAAGTACTAGTGCTAGTGCTAGCACTCGAGCATAGTACGATACTTTTCCGGAGAAATCTACTCGTAGAACTTATTACAAGATGGCATATAGTAAACGGGGGGGGTAAGGGAGGTACGGTAGGTGGGGAGTTTTTCGATTGTCCGAGCGTCTTGGATGACTTGTATCATGCTGTATTGAATTAGGCTACCATTTTTCCTTAAAGTTAAACGGGTTGTAATGACTTGTAAGGTTCGTCCCCATGTTTTTCTCGGTTATTATTTTTTCTTTTCTTTTTCTTTTTCTTTAGATGCCCCCCACGGGTTGGGGTCGGTCGGGTGGATTAGTTTTTTTTTCTTTCTCCATGATAACTAAATTAAAACCGGGGGGGGGGTTGTTAAAGTTGATAAGTTAAGATCGCTAGCGAGGGGGAGGAGGGAGGAAATTGCTTCGTGGGAGATTACGTATGGGACAAAAAAAATAAAAATAAAAAAAATAAAAGCAAAGAGAAAAACAAGGCGGTAGCAGTCACAACCTTTTTTTTTTTTTTTCGAAATTTGATAAAGTTGTACCGGTCGGTATGGCGACAACAACAAATATCATACCAATACCGGTATGAATAAATCAATCCATCGCTCCCTACATCATCCTCGAGTACCAAACACACCACAGAGTTGCTGTTGTAGAAAGGTGGAAGGTAAAAAATGAAAAGCCTACCGTATTTTAAACAATAAGTTACCTAGATACAGAAAAGAAAAGAAAAAAAAGGACCCCTCCAATCCCTGATCGTTTTGCATAAAAGAAAAAAAAGAAGAAAACACAAACAAAACGACTCGCTGGCCAACACAGATATAGATCGGTGGATAGGGATTAGGACAAGACGGATATTAAAGGTGGAAAACGGCGATCAGATGGAAAGAAAAGGGGGAGAAGGACGATCAGAGAAACCAACTATTGTTTCTTGGACTTCTCCCCTTCCAACCCAACCATCTCACTTGGGGGTTCTGAATGTTGTGGTTGGTGTCCCTCAATCATCTGGCTGTGCGCAGCGATACCATGACGATCTCCAGCTGTAATCGATGAACTTGATGTTAGCCCAATGTCGGAGGTGAGGAAAAGTTAGAGAGGGGGGGGGTTATCCATACCAGTAACGGGTGTATGCCCGTCATGATGCTCTTTAGCTGGTGTCCAAGCCAGATAGTCCCTCCGAACCTCAACGTAATCGTACGCAAACTCGCCGAGTTGGTCGTCGTCCATGCCCAAGAGCTCGGCCTGCTCGCTGGCGCGAAGCTTGAGGCCCGGGATCGCGTTAATGACGAAGCAGATAAGAGTGGTCATGACGAAAGTGTAGGCGATGCAAGCGACGATGTAGGCGAGCTGGATGTAGAGCTGCTTCCACTTCTTGTTGACGAAGCCGCCCGTGTAGCTTGCGTTCACGCCGTCGAGGCCGATGATGTAGTCGGCGCCGAATAGGGCATTGAAGATGAGGCCGACCATGCCAGCGATACCGTGTTCCGCGAATACATCCATTGCGTCGTCGATGCGGACGAGATACTTCACCTTGGTGCCATAGTTGCAGACAACACCCGTGACAACTCCCAGGAGAATACTGGCGTGGGGCATGATGAAACCGGACGCCGGCGTAGCTGCGACGAGGCCGGAGATGAGGCCCGAGCAGAGACCGACCATTGACCATTTCTTTGCCAACCTGAAGTCGAGGAGGACCCATGTTGCGCCGGAGAAGATGGCTGTGAGATTGGTGTTCCAGCAAGCCACAACCGCACGAAGGTTGGCACCGTAGGACGATCCACCATTGAACCCGAGCCAGCCGAACCAGAGAAGTATGGTGCCGAGGGTGATCAAGGATACATTGTGGGGCCTGAAGTTGAGCAGCATCTTCTCCTGACGTTTACCGAGGACTAAGGAGTATGCAAGCGCGCCCACTCCGGATGCGATCTCGACGGGTCCACCGCCTATTTACGGTATTAGCTTGATCGAAGCTGTGAGCCAGCGAATTCCCGATACATACCAGCATAATCCAAAACACCATAACCGAAGGCCCATCCATTAGGGTTCCATGCCCAGCAGGCAATGGGGCAGTAAACGAGAGTGGTCCACACGAAAGCAAAGACCATAGCGGGTAGGACCCTCCCTCGCTCAGCAATAGCACCCATAACGATGGCAACGGTAACGGCAGCGAATTGCATCTGGTAAAAACTGAACAGGATCTCCGCAACGAGAGGGCTGGGTGATGGGACGCCGAGTGTGTTCAGCAGAAAAGCGTGGTGGAGGTCTCCGATGAATCCATTCGTCGCGGTTCTGGAGAAGGCTAACGAGTATCCCCACAAGTACCATTGGAAAGTGACAATCGCCGATGAACCTATGCAGGCCCAGATGAGGGAGAGTGCAGACTTGCGGCGCGCGAGACCGCTGTAGAGGAAGCCGAGTCCGGGCACCATGAGAAGTACCATGGCCGAGCAGACAATAATATACGCTGGATCCCCTTTCGTGTACCATCGGTTCAGATTCTCCAGTCCTAGAGTAAAGCCGAAGCTCTTAGTGAACTGAAACCACCAAAAGGTAGGCACAAAGGGTAGGCAGCAAATGACGGCTTCGGGAGTAAACAGGACTTACTAGAATCACCTCCAGTTTCATTGTTCGTCACGGTAGGATCCGTGCTGAAGTTCCCCGGAGACCCCATCCATATGTACGACATCTTGAAGCTTCCCTTATCTCAATATCCGGGTGGGGGAGAAAAAGTCGACCCGAATTTCCGCCTCTGCTCGTAAGAATGTTTGCCGAATTCGAGCTTTCCGTGCACTGCGCTGGAAGTATGATATTCGGACCCGGCCACGAATCTTTCAGGAAGGGGGAGGTAAGGAAGTTTAATAAGAAAAGCGTCCCCTCGGAAGGGGAGATAATCGGAGGGTAGACTGTGTTACACAATGGTTGATAGGGTTTTTTATTAGTGTAGTGTCTTTCTAAAAGTGAGTGAGGTCGGGAGCGATCTCACTCACTCGGTCACAATACGGTAAGGCAAAATGGATCGGTGCAAGTGCGGTACAGCATGCATCCTCCCACTAGACTATTTTTGGGGAAACATCTCGCGACTGGACATTCGCAGGAATGATGGAGTACCAGGTACCGATACAAGCACGAGTAGAATACACTGCCGTATCAGCACGGTGCGTCTTCCTCATCAGTTCACGGGAATTGAATACTCGAGTAGGGTACGGTAAGCATGTTGACACAAGTATTTGCACGGCTAGAATGTCATGTACCGCGGTAGCTTGGCATTTGCCTGGAAGGCGATCAGAGGCCTCTTTGTCCAGGCTTGACCCGCGGCGATTACTCATATTAAACGCCCAGATCAATTAAAAGCCGCCCTGGAAGGTGCAAACTCTTGTTACTTTGGGGGGGTGGGTTTCGCCTCCTACCGGTACCGTCCGGTACAGCAACACACGTGAAGCATATCTTTACTGTACTTGTATTGTACTAAAAATGTGATACTGAGGTTTCTTGAACCCCAACCGGAATTGGAATTTCGATTTCCAATCCCCGTTGGTTGGTTAGAGAACCCTCTCCTCTCCCCTTTTCCGAAATGAAATTCCCACTCCCCAGTTCCAAATTCCAAGACCTTGGCATGGGACGGACCCCCTGCCCGCCTAAGCCTCTTTCGTCCGCTTATCTCTCCCTCGTTGGTTTTGCGAATTTTTGCACAGATAAGGAAAATTCTTAGTCTTGTGGCTGACTCAAACGGGTCCCGTGCTCGAGTACTTGTACCTTTTCTGACCTCGCTCGTTCAACCTTGCCACTTCCGGTCGGTGATTTTTGCCAGCCCTCTCCAGATTTCCATGTTTCATGTTTCATGTGAGGGTTGTGGGCCTTTACTTGTACGGTACCGGTACGCTTCCACCACCCCTTATCTCTCGGGCTATCGAGGCGCAATCGAGGTCTTGGAGCTCTAGTCTAGTATGGTGCCGGTACTCGAGCACTGGTGATTCAGGAGGGAGGAAGCGTCCAGTATTGTACCCATACCCTCGATTAAGCCTCTACCCCCGGGCTCCGTCTCCTTTTCCCATGCAGGTTCGGTTATTTCGGCTCCGAGAGGACCAGTGATGTCCCCGGGTACAAGTACACGTATCGGCACCCGAGAGCCTGTCTTTGAACTCTTGGATTCTGGTATAAGTCGGCGACCTTGCCATCAAAGAACTTGGGCCATCTACGGCAGCCCATTCCCCATCCCACAGCCAAGGCGTCCCCCCGGTCAGGGAAAGTTACCTTGCTGACGCTGCGCCTTGCTCGAGCATTGTACTAAGTTAGTACGGTACAAGTTCGAAGCCTGGACTCTAAAACCCTGATTGCGTATTTTTGCGGATCGCTGGTGACCTGCCCGGAAGGAACTGTATTAGTCCTGAATAGTCTAGCGGTGGATCCACGACATACGGTATCATACCGGTACTGTACGAGTACTATCCACTTATTCGCAACACAGCGCATCCAGAACAGGGTATCTGTGGCTTCCCACCAAAGTGCACCGTACGAGTACACTCTCCTAGCCTTGTCGTCTGTCATTCGTTATGACGGGGGTTCTTGATGGCGTATAGTACTGTGCTCTACCGGTACCAGTACAGTGTGCTTGTCACGTGTCACCCCGCCTAGCTATCTACCCGGGCTAGGGGTACCGGTGCTCGAGTACAGTAAAAGAGCCGTACCAGTAACTGTACCGTATCATTGCTGTTACGCGTTGTCGTATGTCAAGGGGCTTAGTAATGGCAAAGATAACAACATTCCGAACCCGGAACGACCCAATGACTGCTAAAACGAAATGGAAAAATCGAAAGCGGGGGGGTCGGAACCAGAACCAGGTCAACAAGGCCAACACAAGTCCCGAACAGAGCTTTGAGAAGTAAAACTTTTTCGAAACTTTTTCTCGGGTACAGTACGCATGATACGATGAGAGCTGAACGAATAGAAGTTCAGCGACGGGAGAAGAAAAAAAAGAAAAGAGGAAAAAAAGAGGATCGACGGCAACGTTACTTCTGGGGGGTGGTGGGTGGGGTTGTCGGCCGCCGCCGCCAGAGCAACTCCAAAAACGTGATGGGAGGGAAATAGAATGCTGTAATCTCCTGTTCCAACGCCGGGACACGCGACGAGAGATTGTGAGGCAGTGTAACGTTACGCGCCAGGGTCTGTCTCGTCAATTTCGTCCGGGTGATACCTATATCTCACCATAACTATGCTGTATGTACTGTAGCTCTACTCCTACTGGTAGGTGGTACTCGTACTTAAGCCTTTTGTACCCTTTCTACGCGACCTATCGGAGCTAAGAGTAAGACGTCCGTATTGTACGAGTTCCTCGAGTGCATAAAAACCTCTTGCCGGATAATATCGATCCGAAATCCAAGTCTATGTGCACGGGGGGGGGGTTTTTTTTTTCCTCACACGTAGATTGCATCTTGTTCGTCGGGATCTCGCCGAATAGTGGCCCCACAGCCCACCGTAGGCCGGACCGCAGAGCATCTAGCGCCACTCATGGGAGCACGTTATCTTGTCAGATACTGTACGTACGAGTACGAGTACCTGTACTAGTACAGTAATTTCTTCCCCCCCCCCTGATATCGGGGGACTCCGATACCACAATACTGATCCCTCATGCCCAAGCCAGCCCAAGGCAGGGCTGCTAGTATGCCAAGAGCCTGGAGCTCTTGAAACTTTATTTTGTAGCATATGCCATTACGAAAGGCTAGTTAGCTAGCTAGCTACCCGCCGAATAGACGATGGACCAGCAACACCCCTCCCTTCCTTGCTGCATGAGTGGGGAGGGAGGGGTTGTGTCGCACGACATACCATCGTCATGTAATATCACTCGTCCAATCAAGTTTCCATCTATTTATCTGTTTGGGATCCCCTGCTACAGGTCTCCAAGTAAGGCAAATAACCCCCCCGGCGAGGCTCTGGCGGTCTCCACTGCTGTTCATGTTACATATCCGGGAGCCGCCTTCAACAAGGCGGGGGGGGGGGCAGGGAAAGCCCACTTTTTTTTGTCAACATTCTTCTTCGCAATTGCAGATGTGGGAGCTTCCAACAGTGGGGTTTCGCCCGTTTGACATTTTCGATGGCGTGGTATTCTAAGTTCGATTCGAAAATTTACTGGCGCGGTGCTTGAGTAATCGCGGGGCACGCTACCTATGATAAATAAATAAACTCATTCGTTGTAGCATCCGGTGTTAGGGATTGGGGGAAAAAATATACTTCACAGTATGCCAAATAAAGTCCGTGCGTTTTCGTGCGCCCATACCATGCAAACACAGCAAAACTCGTATTATAATGTCATACTTCTTGCCTGCTACTCGTACGAGCGTGATGCCCGCAGGCGCGCCGTGGCGTTTCACTGTCAGGCGGATTGGGGAGGGGGAGGGGGAGGGAGGGGCGAATGGTTTGGAATACGGTCGATTGCGGGGGGTGTAACTTGGGTTTGATCTTCCGTTGCATGCCGGTACCATCTATACTCGTACGAGTACCAGTGATCCGGACTTGGATCCGGAACGCGCGCCCCCACATCGGATAGATAGTGGCTCCACGCAACATTGAAGCAGGCGAATAACACTGTGGGAAACCGTGGAGGAAATATGTAGAAAGTTTGGCAAATAATTCCCGGGGTTTCCCTTGCTGAATCTGTATTTTTCTCTGCCCCTAACTCAGTTATTGGGGGGGATTTTCTGGTTATTTTAAGGGTTAAAATATTTTTAGTGTTGTGTCTTAGTATTATAGCAACATTTGTATGCCTTGGGCCACTAATTTTGTTATTCTTGGCGTACCTATTCACACTAAGATCTTAGAAAAGGGTGCGCAGGCTTTTTAGTGAGCAAAAGTGATGTTTTGAAATGTTAAAAACTAAACACTTACGCCGGGTTGAAGGGTGTTTTTTTAAAAAAAGTTTCCGGATACATCCTCTATCTTTTTTCGCCGTTCTGTTCAGGGAGGCTTGGAGAAACATGGTTCTAGTGGCGGATGTGTGCAGGCGAGGTACAAGTTCATTGGTGGTTTGCGGTAGTACAAGCGTGCAACCCCCCCCCCCTTATATCGGGGGTATTCTAAACCTTCTCTGGCCGGACAGTCCCGCACTGGTCACGAGGGTCGTTTCGTACCGGCCGGTCGGCTGTGGCAGCTCTTGAATACGTAAAGATGTTACTACATAGATAACGCACATTACTTGACGTTACTGCCCCACTACCTAGGATTTATTGGAATAATAGCGCCCGTACGATGTCTCATTTTGGACTTTACAAGTATACCGTGCCTGTGCCGGGTGCTTCAGGGGCTTGAATCTGCAGTGTGCTGGCATATACTTGTAGGAAGCTTCGGGTTGTAAAATACCGATAGGGGGTGGCATGATACCGAACTTGTTTTGCCGAAACGTATTGTTGGACGGGGTTTATGGCACTCGCGTGGTTCAGGTTCACCCAACTCATGTAATTGCTGTTCACGAACCCCCGGGATCCTTACACTGTGAGGGCCAGTGGGGGAAGTTGCCAAAAGTTCGAGCTGGCTACCCCGATGCCTGAATTTCTGCTAATATAACAATTGAGCACCTCTGTTTATAACTTTACGGGTATCTTTAGTACGGTATTTGTCGGCAGATGGAGGTTTTCTGCCGAAAATTTGGGCTAAAACTGGGTTGGTTAAGTGCCGTAAGGTGATCTTCTAGATCTTTTTTCGGATTCTCGGGTTGGAGCTCAAGACGGCGATCCACGTAGTCTTGTTTGGAATTCCTTGAATCTGGGATCGAGTTTTTGCCAGGGATATGTGAGGAGCGCCGTATCAATGCTGTCGCCAGGAAACACAGAATTTGGAGAGGGTTTTTTTGCAAATATCTTAGTCAGGGCTGGAGCTTCATACTGCGGGGCCGGCCGAGCTCGGTATATGCGCAAGCTACCGGAGAGGAAAGGGCCGTTGAGGGCACCGATGAAGTCATGAATTTCAAATAGAACGAATGAGCCCGGCCACGTATAGGCGGAAAGTAGCTGGAATGGCAGGGAGGGAGCGGAAGCACTGTTC